GTATTTAGCAACAGAACACCACTGGCATGAGATGTTCTCCGCTCAATCAGAGAAGGAGAAACAGCTGGTTGCTACCACTTCAACTTTAGGACAAACTAGAGTCCCACAAAGAAAAACACCAATTCAAGTCAAGAACAACAAGACATTTGGACCTAGAAAACAACGACTGGTGTTTAGAGCTATCTCGTTTCCAGTTCTGGCAGAAGCGTCCCAGTGCAGATACCCAAGGAGAGAGGTGAGTGTCCCGTGACCATGTCTGCAGTCAAAACCTAGCTTGTTCTGTAGATTTGCTATAGCAGCTTTAATAACTTGTGGAAATCCACCTTATTATGCCTCCTAATTCTGTGTTTTATCACCAAAGAAATGGCAGCATAAAGGATGTTATTGACAGAATTAAAGGATTAAAGCCATTCTTGGCTCTATGGTTAATGGCTTGCATTAGTTTGGGTGGATTCTACCACTCAGCACACACACACATGCGCACACACACACGTAAACAAATACCGGACCAAACCCCAACTCACAGGAAAATCACAATTCATTTCCAAGTGTTTTATCTTTGGCCCCAATGGTTCAAAACACACTTAATCCTGCCCAGATATTAAAGCAAACTATAAAACAGCTGCGGAAAATCCTCTGACCACGTTCACACACACACACCATTACAGCCTTATCCCACCGTGAAAGGATTTTCACCACACATCACTAAAGACTGCACATCATAATGTGATTTTGATTCATCAAAGAGGAGTGAGAAATACAGTCGTATTAGCGCACAAGGGCAGATGAACCAATTTCATTTAAATGATTGTTGAACTGACTGTTAGAATTATTCACAGCACCAAACAATGATGATATAATAACCAAAACTCTGTAACTCAAAGTACATTTAATGGCGTTTCTTTTGTGTATGAGATGGGATGACTTTAATGGAATAACGTCACGTTCAAGAAATGGGAATTAGTCCAAATAGTAAAAACAAGGAACAGTGGGATTAAACACTGAACGGTTTCTTTTCCTTGGAAAAAGTACAGAGGGAATTAAATTGGAGAAAAAATGACTGAAGGGTTTAAGTAGTCTAAAAGTTCTTCCAAACAATTAATAAAATAAACAGTTTATCTGTGTGTGTGTGTGTGTGTGTGTGTGTGTGTGTGTGTGTGTGTGTGTGTGTGTGTGTGTGTGTGTGTGTGTGTGTGTGTGTGGTTGTCTTCAAGCCTGAGCTTTCTAAATGTGTTGTGTTGAAAAAATATTTGTATGAGAATGAAAAAAATACTAGTTAAAAATGTTCAGTTTGTTTTTAAACAAAGGGGTTTGCATGTGAAATGCTTGATTTAACAGAAGAGCTATGATGGCTCAAACTGGGGTTCTGATGGAAACATGTCAGAACACACGGAGCGTCTTGTTTTATTCTGTATAGATATGTGTGTGTTCTCCTAGCAACACATGTTCTGAGTCTGATGCTAGAAAAGCAGCGCTCTATCCATGTTTTTTCTTCATGTGACTTCCTGTGACCAGACAGAAAATAAGGCTTAGTTTGTCTGTTTACACTCTTAGATCAGATCTATTGATTTCAAGAGCATATAGATCTGATCAATTATTACAGGAGCTACTTTGTTCAGTAAAGGTCTGAATACTGAGTAGATGTTAACAGGGCAGTAATGCAAATTAGTGCTCACACTCTCCTCAAAGCATTATATAATAAACTAATCTAAAAAAAGCATGTTTGTTTCTTGACTTCTACTGAAAATGTGGTTTTCATCCTGCTAACAACCATGTTTTTACACTGCAGATGTAAACACGCCTCCTCTAAATCCAACATAATACCAAGAGATTTAAGACTGAAATGTGACACAAACTCATTTTCATATGAATTCCTTTAAAGCGTTTTATCAAAGACCCGTTATTTATTTATTTACCACTTGAAAACGCTCTGCCATGAATAATTATTCCATAACAGATTATCTATTATACAGAAGATTGTGTTTCCATCTTGACGGCAGCATCAGAGGTTAACGCTGAGCAGTAAATGACCATTTTTATTCCAAATCAGGAGTTCATTAATTTAACTTTCATGTCAGAGACTTAAGTGTTAGTAAATGCATACATGTTGGAGGGAAAAACAATATTTAAACCTGAAGTATCTCAGAGATGAGGGTTTAACAACACTCTAGCTCTCCGTTATTACATTTTAAATGAAAATAAAAAGATGCTTGCATGGACTAACTTGCATTTGTAGCAGCTAAGAGAAGATAGATGTTTGTTTTCACAGTTTGCAGCATAATCAAGTAAGATAGTCACCTTACCGCTAACCTGATGCACCAGATGGTTTGCAGCACTAAGCCATCTGGGAAGCTGTCTTTGGCAGGCATGTTTCAACACTTCTCAACAGTTGACAGGATAAATTACACGTCCATCAACATCTATCGCTTTCTAGATGTAACCAAGCAGATAAACTGAGGTGAAATCATGCTCCTTTTGGAGAGTTTATGGAAAACACTTACATTCTTACCATGAAGAAACACTGCAGCAGTATTTAAATCTGGATCAAGTAACAAAGACAAGCATTTGATTATGTTTATCTGTGAAAATCTAGATTAAGTGAGAAAACTGGGAGAAGTCAGCTGTTGTCGTCGTCGTTTTCCTTCGCTTATCTGGGTCCGGGTCGCGGGGGCAGCATCCCAACTAAGGAGCTCCAGACCGTCCTCTCCCCAGCCACCTCCACCAGCTCCTCCGGCAGGACCCCAAGGTATTCCCGGACCAGATTGGAGATGTAACCTCTCCAACGTGTCCTGGGTCGACCCGGGGGCCTCCAGCAGGCAGGACATGCCCGAAACATCTCCCCAGGGAGGCGTCCAGGAGACATCCTGACCAGATACCCATACCACCTCAACTGACTCCTTTCGATCCGGAGGAGCAGCGGTTCTACTCCGAGTCCCTCCTGAATGTCCGAGCTCCTCACCCTATCTCTAAGGCTGAGCCCGGCCACCCTACGGAGGAAACTCATTTCGTCTGCTTGTATTTGCGATCTCGTTCTTTAGGTCATTACCCAAAATTCATGACCATAGGTGAGGATTGGGACGTAGATCGACCGTTAAATCGAGAGCCTGGCTTTCTGGCTCAGCTCCCTCTTCCCCACGACAGATCGGCTCAGCGTCCGCATCACTGCAGACGCGAAACCAATCCACCTGTTGATCTCCCGATCCCTCCTACCCTCACTCGTGAACAAGACCCCCGAGATACTTAAACTCTTCCACTTGAGGTAGGACCTCTCTCCCAACCCAGAGTTGGCAAGCCACCCTTTTCCGGTCGAGAACCATGGTCTCAGATTTGGAGGTGCTGATACTCATCCCAGCCGCTTCACACTCGGCCACGAACCTACCCAGCAAGAGCTGAAGGTCAAAGCTGGATGAAGCTAGGAGGACCACATCATACGCAAAAAGCCGAGACGAGATTCTCCTGCCACCAAATTCGGCACACTCCACACCACGGCTGCATCTAGAAATTCTGTCCATAAAGGTAATGAACAGAACTAGTGACAAAGGGCAGCCCTGGCGGAGTCCAACCCTCACCGGGAACAGGTCTGACTTACTACCGGCTATGCAGACCAAACTCACGCTCCTCTGGTAAAGGGACTGAATGGCCCTTAACAGAAAGCCACCCACCCCATACTCCTGGAGCGTCCCCCACAGGGTGCCTCTGGGGACACGGTCATAAGCCTTCTCCAAATCCACAAAACACATGTGGATTGGTTGGGCAAACTCCCATGCCCCCTCCATCACCCTTGCAAGGGTATAGAGCTGGTCCACAGTTCCACGGCCAGGACGAAAACCACATTGCTCCTCCTCTATCTGAGATTCAACTATCGATCGGACCCTCCTCTCCAGTACATTGGAGTAGACCTGAGTAGGCTGAGGAGTGTAATCCCCCTATAGTTGGAACACACCCTCAGGTCACTCTTCTTAAAGATGGGGACCACCACCCCGGTCTGCCACTCCACAGAAACTGCCCCCGATGGCCACGCAATGTTGCAGAGACGTGTCAACCACGACAGCCCTACCACATCCATTGCCTTGAGATACCCAGGACGAAACTCATCCACCCCCGGGGTTCCGCCGCTGTGTAGTTGTTTGACTACTTCAGCAACTTCTGCCCCAGTGATTGGACAGTCCATCCCCAGGTCTCCCGGCTCTGGCTCCACCTGGGAATGCGCGTAGGTGGGATTGAGGAGCTCCTCAAAGTATTCCTTCCACCGCCCGACTATAGCCCCAGTTGACGTCAGCAGCTCCCCATCCCCACTGTAAACAGTGTGAGCGAGTTGCTGCCTCCCTCTCCTGAGGCGCCGGACAGTTTGCCAGAACCTCTTTGGCGCTGATCGATAGTCTTTCTCCGTGGCCTCACCAAACTCCTCCCACGCCCGAGATTTTTCCTCGGCAACTGCTACTGCTGTAGTCGTATCATCGGACCTGCGGCCGTATGTTTTGGACACCCGAGTGAAGAGAGGAGCGGAGCTGTCAACTGATCACCACCTGGTGGTGAGTTGGATCAGATGGCAGGGGAAGATGCCGCGTAGACCTGGCAGACCCAAATGCATTATGAGGGTCTGATGGGAACGCTTGGCAGAAGAACCTGTCAAGACGGTCTTCAACTTCCACCTACGGCAGAGCTTTGACCGCGTCCCGTGAGCAGTGGGGGATATCGACTCCGAGTGGGCCTTGTTCCACTCTGCGATTGTTGAGGCGGCTGTTGCTAGCTGTGGTCGCAAGGTGACCGGTGCCAGTCGTGGTGGAAAACCCCGTACCCGCTGGTGGACACCAGAGGTTCCGGGAGCCGTCAGGCTGAAAAAGGAGGCCTACAGGGCGTGGCTGGTCTGTGGGTCTCCAGAGGCAGCAGACAGGTACGAGAAAGACAAGCGGGGTGCAGCAGTGGCAGTTGCTGAGGCAAAATCTCAGGCAAAAGTCAGCTGTTGTAAAAATAAATCAGCAGTTCAGATCCAGGCTTACCTCTCTTTGAGGAAGTCCACCACTCTTTTAAAGTCATCAATACAGTATTCTCTCTTCATGTCCATCAATACGCTGTCTGAGGCAGATTGCACAGGGACATGGAGAAACGCATAGACGCGGGGGTGATTCAGAACCTTGGCCATCTCCTGGGTAAACACAAAGGGAAGACAAGACAGGTGAGGAATGTACTCATAGGTATGGTTAAAAAAGGATTGTAAGGAAAATTCAGTAAAAGCCACAATGTTGGGCATTTATGAGGCTGAAACGTATGAAAGCAGAAGAACTATTTTTGGGGTAGATGTAACTGTAGATCGCTGTGGGTTCATTTGTTAGTTTTTCCACTGAAAGAATAAAAACCTATAATAGTCACCGATACATCTAGAAACTAATAAATGAATCTTACTTCATACAAATACTCAAAACCAGGTGTTGCTTGGATCGGTGGTTCAAAGGACTAATTGACCATTGTATGCCTCTTCAGTGTGCATTTATACTGAATGTAGTAGTTTTTTTTTTATTATTTGCTTTTAAAATTGGTGTCCTCCCTGGCTGTCTTCCACTAACTCCACTTAAATTCCATCACTGATCTGACAGTCAGGACGTTTATAATAAACTGGGAGCCTTTATCCCAGTTAGAAAACCAAACTCTCAAATGAAGTTCGTTTCACTCTGGTATGGTAGGTGGCTGAGGTGTGACCAAGTCACTGCTTTGAAAGTCACAAGTAAGTCACAAGTCTTTCCAGTCAAGTCTTGAGTCAAGTCCAAGTAGAAGACAACCAAGTCCAAGTCAAGTCAAAGTCCTTAACCTTGAATTTTCAAGTCATAATCAAGTCATCTGTCCAACTTCCATTTAATAACGATGATAATAAATTCCAGAAATAGTTTCTTAAAGCTTCATTTATTTGCTCAAACAAGCAGAAAGTGCAACTGAGACTGATTATAAACTAAGTGCTGCTGCGTTTAGCAGTAAATCAAACCCAAAACGAAGAATGTGTTATGATTTTTGTCCATGTCAGGCCACTTTTGTGCTAAAATATCAAATATGCTCAAGTCATAATCAAGTCAACAGATGCAAGCCGATTCAAGTCGCAAGTCACTGGCGTTGAAGTCCGAGTCAAGTTGTAAGTGTTTATATATTTTACCAAGTCAAGTCAGAAGCCATTAAAATAATTACTCGAGTCTGACTCGAGTCCACACCTCTGGTAGGTGGCGACATGCACACTTTCATGTCAGCATTCTTTCGGTTAGCTTAAAGCAACGCAAATAGTAAACAAATGCTGGCGGGAGTGAAGCAGGCAGTTAAAACTGGATATGCACAAAGGGTGAAAGAATGGACAACAACAATGCTGCAGCACAGCTTATCTGGTACGTACCAAATAAGCTGTGCTGCAGCATTGTTGTTATCGTACGTACGGTACCGTTTGATGGTTCGTTTGTGGCGATGATACAGTAGAAGGCCGCTTCTACAGTCTCATGACTTCTAGCATTAACTGGTTCCCCTTCAGAAAGAACTAGGTAGTTTAGGCTTGCTTCTAGCACTCCCTAGTGTTTGTTTGTAGAACTGAAAGCTAAACCTATCTCCTCGCTGTGTGTTTGTTTTTTTAACACCTTAATCTAACATCTGAAACGTCTCCCAGCCTTCATTAGTGTCTACAGCAGCGGTTCATCACTGAATTAATCAAATCCGTTGTGTTGATGATCTAAAACATGCAAAACACATGCTGGAAGCAGAATGCAGCACCAGGTATATCAGCTTCATTTTTTCTAGGTCCCAACAGAGTGGCCCACCAGTCTGAAGTTACTAATGCAGTATTCTGGCCACAGGGGGCGACAGGGGCTGGGTGGCCTTTCATTAACCCTGTAAACGGTCATTTTAGCACATGCTGGGTCAAGAAAATGATTTAAAAATATGAAAAAATCGCAAAGTATCCATTTAAAGTTCAATGAATGAGTGAAAACAATTACAATAGCCCGTCAGTGAAGGGCTTTCATACCAAGTTCTGTCTAAAAACTGATAATTATGAAATACCTTGTAAAGGTAATTGAAACACATAACGAGGAAGAATAACACGAGTGTCTGTTCGCTCACTGAATAAAATGAAGCTTTCATTAACATTCCTGTCTCTTTGTGCACTCTTTTCCCTACAGACATTCAATAATACCTCCTTCCCTCTCTTTTCACTTATCTTTTTTAGATTGCTAAAATCAAAGAAAAGCAGCTCTGGGAGTTCATTGTGCACCCAGTAGATGTGAAGTCCCAGGAGCCAAGGTTGTTCCTGTAGAGGCTCTCATGTCTGACAAGTTGATAGCTGCTGTTGAGGCACACGGGTCCCCATTTGAAAGCAAAATGATGGAAGGGCAAAAAGAAAAATACATTAAATCTATAATTAACTCAGTGAAGACTTCAGCCCCCGAGCTATCTCTGTGTTTTCACTAAATGCTTTGTTCTGGAGTTTCTTCAATACAGAAAGTACTTTAATGGCTATGTTGTTTACAGTTTAAGGTAAAGAGATCGATTCTGTTAAAAATACAAACACAGAACAATCTGCCCCTACACATAAGGTCTGCTGAAGGCCTTAGATGTATAAATGCAAGTACTTCCATATGATGGTAAAAATAAAAAAACGGTACGGGGTTAAGAACAAGATGCCAGGATGGTGATTGTCTTGGTTTTGAGCATAAATGATGCTTTCATAACAAAGTCGTAGTGGCTGTAAATGATGGTAGCAGCATCATCAGGGTCCCGGGTGGAGAGGACGCATGTCGAGGGGTACTGCGAGTACTGGTTGACTTGAATTTTAGGAATTCAGGTGTGTCTATGGTGCATTACAGCAGAGGCATGTCTCCGCAGCAAATACAAGAAATTACAGTCTGTGGTTTGGAATAAATTGTGGAAGTGCGTCGCTGCGCCACTAAAGGTAGGATTTGGTTCTGTTTTAGATGCGGCAAACTCCACAGTTAAAGTGCAAGTCACCCCAATCCCACAGTTTTACCCCACTTACACTTTCTGTTTGAAAAATGCATCAAACGGAAGGATTGCAGCAGTGACTAAAAAAGAAATGATTGCAATCTTAGGCATGCAAAGAAGGATTGTCAAGGAAATTCTGACGTGTAGCAAAGGTGCAGGGGACTGTCGTGAGATATTAAAAATCAGAAAATACAAATTTGATGAGTACGAAGAGCAGGGCAGCTAACCATTTGCTCAACATTGAAGAAGGTTTTTTAAATTTGTTGGATTAAGAAACTTTCTGGAGAGTGTAGTGGCGTCCTGATAGATTAGATTAGATTAGATGATAGATAGATTAGATGATAGATAGATAGATTAGATGATAGATAGATAGATGATAGATAGATAGATAGATAGATAGATAGATAGATAGATAGATAGATAGATAGATGATAGATAGATGATAGATAGATAGATAGATAGATAGATAGATAGATAGATAGATAGATAGATAGATAGATAGATAGATAGATAGATAGATAGATAGATAGATAGATAGATAGATAGATAGATAGATAAACTTTATTGTCCACCTCAAATTGAGGCAGAAATTCACCTTTGACATGGCTCACCTTACAATACAATCCATATTGCATTCACACAAATACAATTAAAAGGTATTAGAATGTTATCATCGTAAAAAAAACTTTAAGAATTCAAAATTGTAATCTCAGTGGGAACAAATGATTTCTTATAGACACCTTTCTTGGCCAATGGAACCCTGTACCTCCTTCCTGATGGAAGTAACTGAAAATGTGGGTTCAATGGATGGGATAAGTCTGCACTGATCAGGGTAGCCTTCCTGTGCACTGCTCGCTCGTGAAGAACAGAAAGTGGGATCTGAGGTGAGCCTGTAATTTTGCTGCCTAATTTAACAATGCGAGAGAGTTGTGTTTTGTTTTTAACTGTAAGAAAGTTATACCAAGCTGTAATATTGACAGTTAGAATGGATTCAATCAGTGATTTATATACAATTGTTAGGATGTCCTTGTTCACATTGAGTGCCCTAAGCTTCCCTAGCAGGTGGAGTCTTTGCAGCGCTTTCTTGTAGACACCGTTGCTGTGATTTGCAAAGGACAGGTGGTCATCAATTTCTGTTCCCAGATACAGGAATGACTGAACCTGCTCCACAGGCTGACCCTGTATGCTGAGGGGTTTGAACAGGGATGTGTCTGCCTCACTGACTGCCCCACAGCACATTTCTTTAGTTTTTGAGATATTGAGCCCCAGGTGAAAGTCTCCAAATGTCTGGACCAGATTGCTGACTGCCTGCTGATATTTAGACAGGTACTCTGATGTCTTCACTGATGCCACCAGTGCCAAGTCGTCTGCATACTTGTACAGGGCCATTCTCTCTCTACGGCACCGGATGTTGTTTGTGTAGACTGAGAAAAGCGCTGGAGACAAAACACAGCCTTGTGGCAGTCCAATGCTAATGACACTTTTTGTGGATTTAAATCCTCTTAAAAATACTTGTTGTGCACTGTCTTTCAAACAGTTGTGGATCCATAAAAGCAGCGTTGTGTGGAGATGGAGATCTGAAAGCTGTTCCAGCAAAATGCTGGTGTCTACTGTATTAAACGCAGAAGAAAAATCCATGATTAAGATTGTTGTGGATGGTTGTGTAGAGTCCATGTGTTTAGTGACAGCATTTAGAAGTGTGAGACTTGCATCTTCTACACCACGTTTTGCCTTGTAAGCAAATTGTAGGGGATCCAGCTGGTCTGAGATAAATTTTGTCAAGTGTCCTTAGGGCTGGGCGATATGGCAAAAATAGAATATCACGATTTTTCCAATATTTTATCACGATTTTTTTTATCCATGAATAGCATAACTTCAATTGCGTATTAAAGAAGAGAAACATTGAATAAATAGACATTTATTCATATTAGGGATAATCAGCACAGTGCTAACACACTTATATTTTAAACTCACACCAGAGATGATAAAAGCCCTGAGAGAAACAATTACAAAAATCAGTTTTTCTCGTTTTTCAAGTAACTTAACATAAATTAAAATCGTAAACATATTTAAAGTGCAAACATGTCAATTGCAAACGTATTGTGCAAACATTAACTTGTTCAAAATACTATGTAGCTCCCAGTTGCTCATGTAGTGGATAGTTAAGCTCAAATACGG